TTCAAAATGCCTTGAGTGCCATTTAAGTTAATTCAGGCTCCTGATCCTTCCCTCGGGTTCCTGATCTGAGCCAATGGCCAAAATATTGTACTGCAACAGTGTGGGACATCCACAGTTCTTCAGCAAAGAAGAAAACACATTACTAGGGGGGCTCATTTAGCTAAAGGGAAAGAAAAAGAGAGGGAAAATCTTGGGGATGGGGCCATCATAGCAGCATAGCATGTTTACACAGAAGCAGCACTCAGAGAGGCTGCGGTCAGATGACAGGCTTGCCATGGCCTGGCCATGCCTCTACTTTATCTGGTGTTATTTTCTCCAGAGAGGTTTGTCCAAACATGCCACTCTTAACCCACCTCACCACACACTCACTCCATGGTTGACTGTTCAGATTATTGGTGCGCAGTAACCATGGAGCAGTCAGGCGGGCAGCATCCTTTTAAAAAATAGTCTTTCATGCATGCTAAGAAGCACTCATTCAAAGCACCACTCTATTTTAACAGCTCCATGATCCCTCCACCAAGTACTGTGGCCCCTCTCAGCCTCCTCAGCTTTGCCTTTATTCCATTGACCACATGGGGAAAGTGCAGATTCACATGAGAGTAGCCCCATTGACTTCAGTACATTTACTCTTGTGTCAAGCATGGGATGCTCTCAAACAGCAACTCTGAAGCAGAAAACCTTTTGCATGGGGGAAAGTGGGATGGGGTGTACGGTTGCCTATTTCCATGGCTTTCTAACCTCACAAAACAGGAGAGAAGGTAGGGGGGGATTTGTCACTCAAAAACAACCCCCCAGGGGCTCCCGAATCTGACAGAATGTTTGGGCACAGATACATGGAAGCAGTGATTCACAACCCTGGGGTGAAAATCCACTTATGTGCACATTGCTATCTGACTTCCTGAATAGCTTGAGAGTGCTATGGATTGATCAGAGATCTGGAAGTGCAGTATGAAAACGCTGACATCTGTAAAGACCAGACTTTCCCCAGCATCAAATAACTTCGGCTCGAAGATGGGTGACAACAGGGTGACAATGACTGGGGAATGGGAGACAGATGTTGCTGTCTGAACTTGCATTTTAAATCCGTAGTCAACAGCAATGACATCAGCTCAAACAGCTCATCTGATCATAGCCTGAGTTCAGTAGGACTTACTAACAAGTAAAGTTAGTTTGTACCCCTAGCAAAATAGAAATAATTCAAGACCCATCTCTCCCTTATTATAATTGAGTAGTGGGCACCAAAATTCTAAAATGCCCGCCTTTAGTGTTTGGCCGGAAGAACTGCCACTCAGAAGACACTGGCTGGGTTGACTGGCTGCTTTGTGCAGTCCCGCCCAGCGTACCAAGGTTATTTGCATATGGAAGCTGATTGGACTACACTCCATTCCACACCTCGAACTCACCCCTCCCCCCCGCAAGGCAGTTGGGATTTTCAGTTGCATAACATACCTCAGAGGGGAGAGGATAATGATGTCAGCTGCCCTTTCCCTAGGCAGAGGCTGTGGGGGGGGGGGTTTGTAAAACTTAAGACAGACAGGCAGATAAAGGTTGGCTGATGGTTGCCAGGAAAGGGTTGCCAACTCCAGGTTGGAAACTTCCAGGATATTTTAGGGATGAAGCCTGCTGAGGGTGGGGTCTGAAGGAGGAGGAGGAAGAGGGGGACCTCAGACAGATGCAATGCCATACTGCCCACACTCCAGACAAGCTGTTGCCAGTCTCCAGGTGACAGCTGGAGAGATCTTAAAGCTCTGGTGCTAATTCAAATTGTTGCGATTTATCGACAGAGTAGTGTTCTGGAAAATCTTTAGGAATTGTTTGGTGCATTTACGATGGGGCTCCTGGGGAACTATTGATGCCAATCTTGGCCCAGCACCCATCAATGCTGCCCTCTACAGACTCCACCCCCCAAACCTCCAGGTATTTCCCTCCTTAGAGCTGGCAACCCTACATTCCCCTCAGTGCCTGTTGGTAGGCAACTAAGCTTGGTCCTGTCACCTACTTTGGCCTTTGGGAGAAAACACATTGGGGCCAGTCCTGATAGGGTTGCCAACTCCAGATGGGAAATTCCTGGAGATTTGAGGGATGGAGCCTGAAGAGGGTGAGGTTTGAGGAGGGGTGGGACCTCAGACAGGTACACTGCCATAGACTCCACCCTCCAAACCAGTCAGTCCCACATAGGGAACCATTGTTGCCAATCTCCAGGTGAGGGCTGGAGAGCACTCAGAATTGCAACTGCTCTGCAGAAGGGAGGGCAGAAGTCAGCTGAAGTCAAAGGGGCAGATAATGGTAGGTTGATGGTTAGCTGGGAAGGAGATGGGGTTGCCAACTACATGCTGACAAATTCCTGGGGATTTGAGGGGTGGAGCCTGGAGAGGGTGGGGTTTGCAGAGGGGTGGGACCTCAGACAGGTAGAATGCCATAGACTACACCCTCCAAACCAGCCATTTTGTCCTGGGTAACAATTGCTGCCAATCTCCAGGTGAGGGCTACAGATCACTCACAATTACAACTGCTCTTCAGGTAGCAGAGATCAGTTCCTCTGGAGAAAACAGTGGACTCTATCATTATACCCTGCTGAGGTCACCACAGCAAATTAACACTGTTTGCCCAAAGCCTGAGCACTGCCCCAGAGCCTCTTTCTAGATCTCGTTGTATTGCTTTCACAACGGGCTTTACTGCTAGTTTTTTTAATAAAAAACAACCCATGTCTAGTCAGATGCATTTTCTGATGAAGATGAGCCCAGAATCAGCCATGAGACAGTAAAGGAAAGTGCCTTGTATGTTTGTTTGTTTGTTCGCTCCTTTAATATATCTGGATATATTAGAATGCCCTTTTGCAAAATCAATACAAAAGGATGCTCAGTATCAGATTGAAATTATATCCCTGTGCTTGAATGTACATACAGAAGATTCAAGCCAATTCATATTATTAAATATATTTGAACTGTTAACCATGATTCACCACCCAAACAATGCACATGTTGTACAACTTGTACAACTATGCTGTAAACAACTAAACTGTCAGGTAACCGGGCTGGGGTAACTTTTGGAAACAGAGAAAACTAATGATGATATATATTATTGAGACAATAAAGAGTATTAGTATAAACCTGACCTGGATAGTCCAGGTAACCCCAATCTTATCAGATCTTGGCAGCTAAGCAGAGTTGACTCTGGCAAGTACATGGATGGGAGACCTCCTTGAAACACCAGAGGTGGGAGGCAGGGGCAGGCTTTATTCAGACATCTCTCTGAATACCCCCCAGGCCCCCAGTAGGGTCAGTTACTAGAGGTCACCATGACTTCCAGGTGCACATATACTCACATCCACACACACATATTAAAAAAAAGAATATTAGTAGAGAACAACAAAAATATTCAAGGCTCTTGGATATAGTTAAATATATGTTGTTCTGCATAGAAAATTAAAGGCCTTAATATTTTTATTTTTCCATAATTAATGTTCCTTTTAAGCCCCACAGTGTTATGAGCAGAAATTCTACCTTGTGAGCAAAAAAGCTAGTAGCATTAAATTTGTGAGCAAGTCTACATTTGACCATCATGTAAATTAGTTTTTTAGAAGATTACTTCCATAATCTTATAAAAATATCAGAATAAATTATTTTAGATTATATATAAATTATATTTTAAGAATAATTTAAACATTATAACAGAATCAAGTCACATTTCATCTACCCCTTTTCACTATATTGGTAGACCTGGCCTCCAGAAAACAGGTCTACCCTCCCCCCTTTCCACTATATTGGTAGACCTGGCCACTGGAGAACAGGTCTGCCCACCCATTTCCACTATATTGGTAGACCTGTCCTCTGGAGAACAGATCTATCCACCCCCTTTCCACTATATTGGTAGACCTGGCCTCCAGAAAACAGGTCTACCCTCCCCCCTTTCCACTATATTGGTAGACCTGGCCTCTAGAGAACATATCTGCCCACCCCTTTCCACTATATTGGTAGACCTGCCCTCCAGAAAACAGGTCTCCCTACCATAGTCCACTGTATTGGTAGACCTGGCCTTGGATTGTTGCCTTGTGCTGACCTTAGAAAACATATCAGCACACAGGGGAAGGGGGAAACTCTTGCATTCTACTTTGTTACTTTTTTTAGTGAAATATGACAACCAGCATTGCAGGTCAAGTATAACAGAGGAGGAACAATCACTGTCAGAACCCTGGCTAACCTAACAAATAAGAAGTTGCTTAAATGTTATCAACCTGCCCAAACTACTTATTTATTCAAATATTTATATCCCACTTTTCCCTGTAATTCAAGGCAGCTTACAAATCATACTAAAAAGCACGATTTGTTGTTGTTCAGTAAAAATATATATATATCATTTTTTCTGGCTCCAATGTAGCCTATGAGGACCATTATAATCAATAGTCCCTATACAATAGGCTATAATGGAGAATCGATCTGAGGGTATCTGGGGTTAGGGGAGGGCTGGTTTTTTAGTTAGAGGCACCAGATTTACAGTGTTGCTGATGGTGCCTCTCCTTAAAATTCCCCCCAAATTTCAAAAAGATTGGACCAGGGGGTCCAATTCTATGGGCCCCAGAAGAAAGTACCTCCATCCTCCACTGTTTCCAATGGAGAAGGGGGAAACATTGTGTGCAGAAGCAGAAACCTCTGAGCTGGCATCTAAAGGTTTGTGTGCCAGCACCCTCTAGTGCAGCTTAGAGGGAACTATGCTTAAAACATCTGTCATTTTGACATGACATATCTGGTGAGGTGACAACTTGACACTCTCATCATTACATACAGCTCTGGTTCTCTAAGTGATATCTCTTTATCTGTACATGTCTATATCTGTGTCTTCCAGATATAGGATGTACAGGTGTTGTGCAAATCTGTCCTTTTTTTAAAAAAACCCACCATGTGAATACACATTAATGGACAAATAAAAGTCAATCCGTGCATCACAAAGTCGATTGTATAAAGTAAAAAAAGTTTTAACTGAACCATTGTGTATAATCTTACCTCTCCATAGTGGATTTAGCCCTGGCTTGCTTTTGCAAATGACTGGCTCTGGGTTGAAGCTGCTAGCTTGATTTAATGCTCTTGAGAAGTGTTCATCCACTACTGACCCAATGTCTCCCTGGAAGTAAGTGAAAAGGACGCAGCGAGAGTTAAGGTATTCCATCTCAGCAGGCTGGTCTTTCTCATCTTCTTCTTGTTTGTTAGGAAGGGCTGCTTCCAGAGATTCCTGCATCTTGCTATGTACAGCAAACTTGGTCTGGTATAAGGAAACAGAAGAAAAGAATGGACAAATGAGATTACTCGGTATCTATAGATAATGGAAACAAAAATGCTGTTATCTCATGGTAAATATGATATAGTTTATAATTTTGCCGAGGGTCATCCCACCTGTTCTGTAAATGAAACATTTGCTATTGATCATCTAGGGGCTGCCATGCAGGCAAATCAGCTAGTGCCCCCCTTGCATCTTGTTGCAGTTTCCCAACTCCAGGGACAGGGGAGAAAATTCGCCTAATCCAAAAGTAATTGGAAGTCCTCCCTAATGGGTTTTCTAATATGTGTAAGTTTCCTTTTACTATCTCTCTCATGGAGTTAGCACAATAGGTGGTCTGTAGATGACAGAGAAACAAGAACAAATTAACAGCACCCATTCACCAAAGTAAAATCTATGAGTAAAGGGCTTAACCTTTGTTTAATACGTGGTGTAAAGTAGTACAAATCTTGAGTGAGAAACAGAAGTAAAGCTAGTATGGTAAAGAAATACATCCTGAGAGCTGACATCATCCTAAATTCTCTTAGGTATACCAACAAAACCATGCAAAGTCTGCATTTTAGAGCTCATTATATTAATTGTATAATAATGTAATCCTTATCATCATATGAATGATTATTTTTGTTCAATTTACAACACTTCTGAGCACTTATGTTTTACAAACTATTCTAATTTTGTTCAGGCATGCTCCACTTGTCATACTTTCACTGGGCTCAGTATCATTTGTGGAGGAGGGTGCTACTCCATGGAGATGTGGATGACAGAATTAAGCCTTTTGTAAGAAAAAAAATTCTGAGAATAAAACATTGCCAAAGATACAAAACAAATGTGGGATCTTCATTCATTCAAACAACTGTTTCATTTTTGTTTTTACATAGCACCAATTTATAAAAAAACATTGGATATAAAAGATGATTAAATGTGGTGAGATTGGTGCGATAAACAAACCCTTGAAAAGCATAATAAAAAGGGGGGAAATAATCAAAGGCTACGTTGGATGGAAGCCTTTGAACAGCTATTCCCATTTTTTTCAAATCAAATCAAAATGTCAAAATAAATATGTGTGAAGATCCATTTTGCATGGAACATATTTTTCAGATGTTCTGCTTTACAAATGTTTTCTAAGAAACTCCATTCCTAATACTCTAGTAGTGGCACCCCATTTTGTCTAACACTCTGGGGAAAGAGGGGTTAAATCATAGTCATTTAAGTGGTGGCATTGGCTATTCAACTTCCGACACAGTTCTCAGGCATACCACTGACTGTCCAGACTGCTGGTTTAGCATGTATTGGCCGGGGTGGGGTGGGGGGGACAAGGTGATAAGCACAGAGTAACAAAGGGATTTCTCTTCCACAGTGTCCAGCTCATGAATAAAGGGGTGCTTCTCACCTGCTCATTACATGCCTATCCAGAGATTAATTTCTTTTGGAGTTGTGATTCTAGGAGATCTCCAAGTTCTAACTGGAGGTTGGCAAGCCTACTTCCCTACCTTGTCCTCCTTCCACTCTTAACCATATTTGCTGTGGTTTCGACTACTGTTACTTCGCTGCCAGGCTGGTAGCACCAACTAGGTGGAGAGGAGAGAAAGATTCTCTGGCACTGACTCTGTTTGGTGTAGTGGTTACGTGCACGGACTCCTCCACTTGCACCTGGCTGGATTACCTTGGGCAAGCCTTAGTTCTGATAAGAGCTGTTCTTGAAAAAGAGCAGTTTCTGCCAGAGCTCTCTCAGCCCCACCTACCTCACAGGGTGTCTGTTGTGGGGAGAGGAAGGGAAAGGAGTTTGTAAGCTGCTCTGAGACACCTTTGGGTAGTGAAGGGTGGGGTATAAATCCAATCTCTTCTTCTTCTTCTCTCCTGCTGGCTGGCTTCCTGCCTAGCCATCGCTTGTCTGCTTAGCTACAGATCTGATTCCCCTGCAAGTGATGTGGTAGTTACAGAATACCTCATAACCCTATAGAGTGCATTCAAAGTTTGGAATAGGGCTTGGAATAAATTGAGCTATTTGCCAATATTTGGCAGCCATTCAGTTTTCCTGATCCCAAACCAGATCTCAGAGTTGCCAGCTTTCCTTCCTCACAGATGTCCTGGAGGTGTATTGAGTAAAACCTGGTTTCTCATTCCTGAGGTTCCTGATTCGAGCCCTGTCAGGTGCTTGATACCTAGATAGATCAAGCTGCAAGCTCTTTGTGTATTTAAATAGCTACACTATGGTGTTTTCTCCCCCCCCCCTCTTTTTTAAAAATGTTTTAAGAGGAAGTATAACATATCAAGACAAATAATAACTGCGAAACAGTATACAAAAGTCCTGAGAATCCAAAATGACAAAACAACCAGTTAAATATTTTTACTGTCTTAGAAATACTTCACCATTCCTAGAACTGTTCAAGGGAAGGGTCTAGCCACTAGACTGATACCACTATGTTTAAATATGTGAGAAGAATTAAATGCTGTATTTTTTTTTCTTGGGGGGATTTATTGTTAACGTTTTAAAATGATTTTTTTAAAGACTGAGAAGACTGACAGTTATTCTTAAGTGTGCTGGTAATGTCTGGACACACATTAACTAAATTCGAGTAAAACTCAGGCCTGATTCACATATGTAGAAGAATGAAGTGAGAAGGAAGCGGCAGAGCCTAATATGATAAAGTGGACTGCTTCACTTCAGAGTGCAGAAGGTGGATTCCAACTTTGAATTTTACTTTACATTAAAGTCTTTGCAAATAAAAAACTACTAAAACGGGAGGGAGAAAGATTCAACTCCTTTTCTTTGATTGCTCGTTTCTATTTGCAGGGGAGTGTTCCAGAATTTGATCCTCATAATCCTCCATCAGTAATCATTCTATCATGGTCTTTTCTGCTTCTGTTAACCAGCACTTAGAATTCATGTCTGCCTTTATCCACTTTGACCATGATCACAGGAACAGAATGAACAACATATATAAAATGAAATAACTAGTCACAGGGCCAAACTGCAGCTGTTACCTGTGACACGCTCTATGTGCAACTCTGCCTATACACACAGTTTCGATTTTGAGTGAATGGGGCAGCATCTGTATTTTCAATATGCATGCAACTTTGGTAAACATAAATGTGTTCTTTCAAAAAAAAATCTGGTGTTACCTTTGCACATATGCATGTTCCCCATTTACATAAAATGGTGACTGTGCATAAAGGGAGGATTTTGTGTTGCATGTGCCCCTATCACACATGGTTGGAGACCCAAAATCAAAAGTCTGAGCAGAACTCACTACTTCTCAGGATTTTAACAAAGTTCTTCCATAAAGTAGTCTAAGGCTGCAGTCAGACATGCCTTTAAATCCAACTCACCTGTGAATGCCTGATGGATCTAAAGGGCATGATGAGACAGCAATATCTGGTAAAGGTCCCATATCCACCAGCAACCCATGCTGCCCTTTAAAGTTAAAAGATACTGGGGAAAGCCCAGACCTCATGCTTGCTGACGGGCTACAAATAGACTTTCCCCTGTATGATCACTCAAGCATGTTCTCATACCATTGGAATGGTCTGTTCATTCCATCCCGACTCAGTGCCAGTTTTTCCCCCTCACTTAGCAGTATGCATATAACCACATACTCCATGAGGAACCCTCAGTGCAGAGATAGGATTCTTCATTTATGCACATGGGAAACAAAAGGCAAAAAAAAAAACCACTTGCCCAAACATACCGTCTGATCAGGCAGTGATGGCTGAGCCCACAGCTACAAAGGATGTGTGCTTGTGCACAGTGACAGCCCCAGGTTTTTTTGCCCACTAGGTGAGGATACATTGTGGTGTGTGCCCCCCCCCATGCGAGGTGGGATGGGGGTGGGCGCCAGAGCCACAGCAGGTGGGCTGAGAGGACGAGCTGCAAATGCATGCGGGGGGCGGGATCGCTCGAGGGGAGGGGGGCTGTGCCAGGCTGCAAAAGGAGCTCCAGAGAGACCGTGGGGGTGGGGGTGGAAGAGGGCGAGCGGCACTTTCCCGTTGTCCCGGGCTGTTCCCCATGCCTGTCCCCCACCTCCTTCTCTTTCTGTCTGGGGGGCTGCAAAGAGGGGAGTCTCTTGCTGGAGACGGAGGAAGAAGCAGGCAAGGGAGGCTTCCTGTGCGGGGCGAGGGGGGGGACGAGGCCAGCCAGAATGGCACCCTCGTTGAGCCATTTCCCTAGGCAACAGTCTAAAATTTAACAATAATGGGCCGGCCCTGCTCATGCTATGTTGTGTCAATTTCCACCAGGGCAAATAGGCTCGTTTCCCCTCCACACCAAATGGCACATCAGACTGTGGCCTAAGACTGCACTAGCTTTCTTAAGCAGCCATGTTACACTGCTGGCTCACATTCAGTTTGTGATCAGCTAAGACAACAAGATCCTTTTCATACATACTGTTGCCAAGCCAAGTCTCTCCCATCTTATACCTTTATCTTTGATAATTTTTCAACATAAATTTAACATTTTACATTTATTCCTGTTGGCCATTTCTCTCTTTCAGCTTCTACATTTCTAGCAAGTATTCTGCACATTAAAATGGTTGTTTCAAATAATGTATCAATAATATTTAGAAGATTTAAATATAAACATGGGGAGAAGTATTTTATTGCTATACCTCCCCCAGTTTTGCCATTGTGCCCCTCATAAGTAACTGTATCACTTTGTCTTCTTTGAAGCTCAATTTATTGCAACCAGCTTGGACCTTCAGCTTATTGTGATCATTTCTGAAAGGTGAATTTCTCAGGTGAAGGGTAGCATTAGAGGAGAATGTGGAACCATGTTGCTGGGATCCAGATGCTGGTGCCTGGAAGTCTTTCAGTGTTTGTATACGGACACTGGAATTCAGGAAATTAAAGCTTGTATCCAAAGCTGCTGCTCTGTAGAGGAATGCTCTTCTTTTCATAGACAATATTCTGTCAGCATTTCCATTTCATTCCTTCCCATTTCTCATCCTTAGTTTGTGTCTTTTTGCTCAAACACTACTAATAATGATTGG